CTTATTGTTTATTCTGGATTGTAAACCACTTTGAAGAAAGACATGGCATACATTTCAAACAAATCTTGGAACAGCTAGAGTGACAGGAAGGAACAGAGAACATCTCATTTATACCAGTTTGAGGAACAGCCTGACTGTCCTCATGACTGAAAGAGCATCTGTGAGCTTGCAAAAAGAGTACTCCAGAGAGCAATTCACACAACCAGACCGATGTTCTGCAGCACCTAGACTGAGTACATCCATGTTGAGTTGGCAATGACCCACAGCATTAACTGCATGAGTACACAGAGCAGATGTGGGGCACATTCCCCCAAAGATGCCTTCCTTAACTTGGTGCCCTCTATATGTGTTGGACATCTGGAGGGTATCAGGATGAGGAAAGCAGCTATGATATGCTGTTAGAAGGAGGCACTGAACAGATAAACACAATGACAAAAAAGGGGAAGTCCACAGTGGTGCAAACCAGTATTTAGGAGAGCAGGCTGCACAGCTTATCTTTTCATAAATACTGATCTGATAACAGTCAAGCCAACGCTTCTTCTCCAGGGGAATAATTTTCATATCAGGATAGACCTGCACTTTGAGCAGGTAAACTCTTAAATGTCTGATGAAGAATCAAGTCTTGAAATGCAAAGAGATCCTTGCTTTCTTGTATGGTAGTTTTGCACAATTTTGGGCTCCCCCTTTCTTCTATCGTACCAATTCCTGTGTCTTGACATGCTGGATTCTGGTTTCAGGGGGCCAGTGCTGCATTTGCATTGCAAGTTCAACTCCCACTAGCACCCTAAAGCTTACAGAGGGGTCACAGCAGCAGCACTAACATTGTTACATGTGAGGCACATTATGAGCACCTCCTTCAGCACCTGCATCAGTTCCAGTATCAGTCCACCTGTCCAACATTTCAGGTGCCAGTTTGGTCATATGCATTGACCCCTAAATCTCCTGATATTTGTGAGCATCAGCTTAGAGCAACCTTCCCCAGCCTAGTATTCTCCATATATTTTGGAGTTCAATTTCTAAGAGCTCCATGTGGCATGGCCAATGACTAGGAATGTTTGAAGCTGTAGTGAAGGCAGCAGACTGGGGAAAGCTGCCCTGGAGTGTATTCTGTTACTTCACTTTCCTCCATCTCTAAACTGAGATAGTTGTTCCCAGCACACCCAGTGTCAGAATAGATGCACAACAATAGAAGAATGGTAGCCAATTAGGATACCAAATGGAATGGTTTTAAAGGGACAAACTGATGGAGGGTGAGGCTATCAGCTAGTCCTGGTGGTGAGATGCTGCTTCCATTATCAGGAGCAGCATTATTCCTCAGTGCTAGTTGTTGCGGAACGTGGCTAGGAGAGGGTTGTTGTACTCATGCCCTGCTTGCTGATTTCCCAGAGGCAGCCCATTGGCCAGAATGCTGGACAAGGTGGAAACTTGTCTGATCCAGCAGTGCTCTTCTGTTCTTCTGTATTGCTATATTAGAAAACATAAGAATGCCAAGGTCTCCTGCTGATGGTGCCATATGGGAAAGGCAGCTTGGAAAAGTACTGGAGGACTTCTAGCCTTAGTTGAGACATGGAAATGCCAAACATTGAATTCACCTCCCATTTGCAACCTATGTGGGAAGTACCCTTGTCAACACACAGCTGAACATTAAGAGCTTCAAAACCTTGATCTCTCAGAAGCCTCCTAAAGAAGTGCCAGGCCTGAATTATCACCAGGAAAAAACTAGTAGGCAGCTGGGCTTGGAAACAATCTGGAGAAGAAAAACTTGGTAGCAGGGATGTCTGCCGATCATTCCTGGCAGCAGGATGGGGAGGGGGGAATCCCTTTCAGGAGCTGTGCCAAGCCAAGCTGTGCCACCTACAGCCTGCCTCTCAATAGACAAGGGCATTGTGTGTTGCATCTGCTGTGCTTTTCAAGGCTTCGCCCTGTTTGGCAAACATGAGCCAATAAACCTCCTGCCCATCCGCTATAAAGGAAATCATGTGTCATTCTTTATGTTTTTGTTTATTCCCTCCCCTATCAGGACAAATTACAGCAAGGCCACCACCAGCAAGGGGCAGATGAATCACTGAGCCCGAGGATTCATGCTATAAGGAATGGAGAAACAATGGAGGACTATTTAATACTCATGAATTAAGATCAACGAATTTGTAAGGATTATAAAGGTTTAGAAGATTACGCTTCCACATACTGGTGGGGATGTCAAGGCTTATACTAGCCTTCCTCAACAAGACACCCTCCAGATGAGTCTGACTGCAACTCCCATAATCTCCAGTAGCCATGCTGGATGGGAATGATAGGAATTGTAAGCTGATGCAATTGCAGGGTGGCACAATGGAGAAGGCTGGTTTATGCCAACTTGTCTTATGAGGCAAAAGGACTGTGCTGGGTGGCCCTTGGGTTCCCACTGCTCCCTTCCTCCCTGCTGTTTTGCTTTCCTTTGTCTGTGCTGCTTTTGTGTGTACAGATTCTGGGTTTCAAAGCAGAGGCCGCCTCTTGTTCACTGTGTCTATATTACAGCCCGTTATCACAGGCAAGGCATGTCTCTGCTATGTATGTAACAACAACAACAGCCAACATTTTTGGCTTAAGCAGCTTAATCCTGCTCAGAACAAATGAGCGGTAAAGTGTGCGTGCACACACACACACACACACATCTCACACGCCATCCAGGGGGATGCTGGAACACACACTGCAATAAAACTAAAACAAAAGTCAAGGAGCTTTATTTTCCAAAGGAAGAATGAAACATATTCCTTAGTTGTTCCTTATGATTTATCCACTTCTTTAGGACTCAGAATGCCATTTGACAGTTATGACACTTATGTGACAATTATGCACACTTCTCTTCCCCACACCCTACTCCTCTTAGCACCCACAATTCCTGTCAGTTTGGCCTATTTCCTGGTAACTATTACCAGAAATGACTTAAGCCCATGTCATGCTCACAGCTTCCAACAATACACTGAGGGAGTGCTGGCCAAGGCAGCCTTAAGCTAATATTCTCTTGGCCTGTAGTGTTGACGGTGAGAAGGGGGGGGGGGCTGCTAGCTAAGCCCACTTACTGGCTTTCAAGGCTATGTGTTCCAGCATCCCCCTGAATGGAGATGCTTGAAGATGTAAGGTTAGATATCTAGTAAGCCCCAGGCTGGGGAAGGATGGCTTAAGGACAGGGGTGGAAATCCAAGGCATCCATCTCTCATCTCCTACTTTCTGACACTAACAGTCTAGTGAGGTTTTGGGTGTTACAGATAAACAGCTACAGATCTTCTGTGTATCGATTCCATGCAATCTGCCACAGAGAAAGGATTTGTACATGTAGTGAGAATGTGAGATCCACGACCTCTTGGATGAGAGGCTGCCCTACCACTAGGAAAAGTGAGGTGACTGCCTTGGGCTGGAGGCAGGAGTTCTGGAGTTCTGGGATGTGACAACAAGTTCCTGGAGGACAGAGTTATGCTTTTGGGCATATCCTGCCCCCGAAGTTGCCCCACTGCCCTGAAGAGGAGGATGCCCCATCATAAGTGCAGAAACAAGATTCAGCTTCCACACCCAGAGTGAAGAGGGTAGGATCTTGTCCCTCACCAGAGACAGCAAAATACCCAAGGGAGAACTATGAAAGCTTGCTTTGTAAAACCACTGGGTTTACATTTACAAACATCTCTTTTGCACAATAGTGATGATCTGTGCAGCCAGTCTCAGATCCCTGATGAGCTTAGCTTTATGTCACTCATACTGTTGCATTCTCATTGTACATTTTGGTTCCTATAATGGTCCTCCAAGAAAAACATCATTCTTGCTTCCTCTGGCACAGGTTGTTCGCAATGCCCAAAGTTACCTTTTGTGTAATTGGGGGCACAGGGAGCAGTTATTACTGGCAGGAAGCAGCTAACTCTCTCCTAACTTACCCTGGTTTGGAAGCCACAAAATTTCTTGGACTACAGCTCCCAGCCATCATGGCTTGGTGATGCTGGGGACTGAAGTCCAACACATCTGCAGGGCCTCATGTCTGGGAAGGCTGCCGTATGGCAGGGTGGGGAGGGGGCCTTGAAAACAGAATGATGCCCCTGCCAAACCAGGAGGCTTCTCTCTATGCTCAGTCTCCAATCTTGCTTACCCCTTTCCTTCCCCTTGTCACAACTCAAGTGCAAAGGAGACCCCAAGAAAGCAGCTGGGTGAGAAGAGGTCAAAAGACTAGTACAGCCCTAAACATAGGAGTAGGCAGGTGTGATATATAGAAATAGGAAGGGGCTGGGGAATTTGCAGCCTTCCAGATGTTGCACCCAATCTCTCATCAGTCTCAGCCAGTGTGGTAGATGGCCATGACTGATAGGAAATGTAGTCCATGGACATCTGGAAAGCCATGGGCTCCCCCAGACCTGGCTAGGGCGAGCTCTCTACCAGCAGTTGGAAGTTGGAAAGCAGCAGCCTCATAGGGAGAGCTGGCTTCTAAGTTAGGACCACAGCCCAGCTGCATCCCCAGTCTGTGATTTCTCCCAAAAGGCAGACAAGCCCTCCCATCGCCAAACTTGGCAAAGGTTTATATCCCTGCAGACTAGAGGGGATCGGGAGGCTTCCTCCTCGCCCCCCCCCCCCCCGCGATTCCCACCTATCGCTGACCTTAGGCTGAGTCAGAGTCTTTCCGAACAGACAGACACCCTGCCCTCTTGGCAGCCGCCCTTGGTGCGGAGCAGCCAGCCAAGCAGCCAGCCTGATTGTACCTTCGCTGCTTGGCAAGGCCCGCCGAACAGAATGTACCATATGGCCAAAAAAAGAAAGAAAAAGGGGGGAACCACCCACCCACCCACCGAGCCCTCCTCCCCAGCCTCTCCGGGGAGCCCCGATAGGCTGCACTCGCTGCCTCGGCTGGGAGTGACAGAGGCCGGCATCCCGCAACCCTGTGACAGCCGAGGGCTCTCCTCGTGCGCCCCCGCCCCGAAGCACCACCCGAATCCGCAGGGCAGCCGAGAGGCTCCGAGAAGCGCCGCGGAAACGGGGCTTACCCCGCTAGGCTGCCGGCGCGTCACCCGCCATCTCCTTTTCCTCAGCCTGGCCGGAGCTGTCCCTCGCCGGCCCGCCTGCTTTCCCCGAAGTTCCGCGGGCTTGCTGCGTCCACGCAGTCCCGGCCCGGACCAGGAGGATCCCCGCGCAGCCCGTCAGCCCCGCTCGCGCGCGCGCCCTCCGACGGAGCGGGCGCCCCGGTCCCTCTCCTCCTGCCGCCTTCAGCGGGTGCCGAGGAGGAAACGGCCGAATCCTCGGCTCACAATGGGAACGCCGAGCGGCGGCAGCATCCCGAACAAAGTGCCGATCCCCGGGGATGCCGACTGGGAGGGGCCGTCACGTGGGCCGCCTCGCTGCCCTCCGGGCGCACGCCCGCTCTTTATGCCGCTGCCGCTGCGAGGGAGGAGGGTGCCCGTCTGGGGTGACGTGACACGACCGCGCGCGCACCGCGCTTCGCTTCGTCTCCTGCTTTTTCCTGCTGGCTCTCCGGCCGCCACCGCACCTCGACCCTTTCTCTGAAAGTCCAAGCCCTGGCTGCGGGCGGGCGGGCGGGCGGGCAATCTGCTTATTCCAGAGAGAGACTTTCTCATCGGGGCGGGGAGGGGGCAGCTTAACTCTTCCTCCCCGGCGGAAGGGCCACTTCCATCTCCCGATGCGCAGCGATTCTCCGGTCAAGCTCTTCGGCCAGCGGCTTTCCTGCCTCCTTCTTCCCGATACGTTTCCGGGATTGGTGGGGGTGGAAGGCAGGAAATCTCTCCTCCAGCTGTTGGCTTCCTTAAGTTAATAGCAACAATGGTCTTTCGCGAGACGGGCGTGGACTGCGTGCGATGGTGAGGGTAGATTTCAAGCTTATCCAGAGGATCTTGTAAATTGCAACACGCGCGCGCGCGGACAGGCAGGCGCGCGCGCGCGTGCGCGCGGACACACACACACACACACACACACACACACACACACACACACGTCACCCGGTTAGATAAGGCAGGCAAGCTTCGGGCTTATCTGTCGGATCTAGTGAATTGTGACCCCCTCCCCTCCTACGACAACTGCATCATTTCCTTTGCCCGGTCCACTGGCGGGGTCCTTCGCGAAGCCGTGCCCACTCCGGCGCGGGAGAGAGGGAGGGGGGAATAACTTGCTGTGGGAGGGGTCACGAACACACGCTGCAGTCGTGCGCCCCCCCCTTTTTTTTTAAGTGGCGGGGTGCGTTCGGGCTCATATCTGCGTCCCCTCATCTGCCATTTCCTATCCTCAAATCAGCTTCCTTAAGTTCACTTCTGATACCGAGAGCAGGGAAGTGCAGTTGACGGCTCCACGCGTGCAACGAGTGGCCTGCACTCACATCAACTTTGCCTGCAAAAACTCCACAGCGTAGCTCAGCGAGGCGGATTTGGATTTGCCTTCGCGCGTTGCCTGGACTCACTGCAAAGGGGGAGCTACAGCCTTGCTCTCATTGCTGTGTCCCTCGCCGACCCACTGCACCAGGGAAAGTGACGGCGCAAAATCGACGACCCAGTTCGGCCAAACGAGGAGGTTAAAGACTAAGCTATCAGTCAGTCAGTTAAGGCAGAAATCAGTTCTTAGGGAAAGGCAACAGGCGTTGCATGTCATTTTGTTTGCCTTGGGCTGGGGCACACAGCCTCCCAGTCAAATCCAGCAGGGACCTGCTAAAACGAATCACCTCCATGTCCTGTTGATTTAAACATATTCTTAAGCCTCCCATTTAAATCATAATGGGATTTCACCTTTGGCTGGATCATTTTCCTATTCTTATTGATTGTTAAAGAGCGGAGGGCAAGAGGATTTTAATGGAAATGGTCACATTACAGGCACCTTCCAATGAGTGCCAAGGGACATTTGCAAAACCACATGCCATACAATAGTCACAACAACAATGAACGTGCTATCTGGAGAAAAAATAGCATTCTCCCAGCAACAGAATATTGTAGTCAATAACCCAGTCAAGCACAACACAGAAGGTGTTTGAATATCCAGCTGCAACATGGAAGAGATGGTGCTCTTCTTTTGCAAACAAATTATCTTTTGGAAAAGCCATTTGGAAACCAGGATGGAAGGGAGATAATATCTGCCCAAGATACAGAAAATTCAAGCGGCACATCTCCCTTCCACTAAATAAGGGACACAACTTAGTAAGCATTTCTCTTCCAAAAGCTGTTCTTGAATGAGCAGAGTTGTGCAAGACCACAGTGCTCTTCTTGCACAGTGACCATTTGCTGGCGAGGATCTTACTGTCACTGCTGCTCAGGCTTTGTAAGGGCCTTTCCCATCCTTTGGTGGTTTGCCACAGAAGCCCATCATCTTTATTCCTTGGATGCATCCCAGAGGTCTTTCTTTCTGGTTGAAGGACAGAAGTGACCGGGTGCTCATATAAGAACCCAGAATACGGGTTAAGCATGGGTTGCTCTTGTTCAATCATGGATTGTTGTGAAGTACAAACCTCACATTTTGATTTAACTACGGGTTTTTAACCAAAAAGAAACTAGGAAGAAAACCCATTGGTTATTGGGTTCTAAACTATGCATTATTCATAAATAGGAACCCACAATTAAATTATAGTGTAAGGTCTGCACAAAATGGAAACTCATAATTTGACAACAACCCATGACTGGGTTTTCATTATAGTCATTACATTACAGATTTATCCAGCAATTAAACCACGATATTTTGTAGAGCTTTCATTTTGTTGATAGGGCACATGTTTGGTGTGCAGAAGGTCCCTGGTTCAGTCCTTGGCATGTCCAAGGAGTGAGTAGCAGGTACTGCAAAATTTATTTTCTGCCTGAGATCCTGGAGATCTGTTGCCAAGAATGGTAGACAATAGGGAGCTAAACTGACAAATAGTTTGACCTGGTATTGGATAGCTTCCCATGTTACTGAAGAAGTGCTGTTAAACTGCCACTGCATCTCACTGTAGTTCTTATCTCTGAATTCTGTACACCTGGTTAGGTGTCATGTACTATAGACCCTCCTCCAACTCCTAAGCGTCACAAGATGACAGATGTGTCAGAGCAGTGATGCTTATCTCTTGGACAAGCTCTGTTATTAAGTCTTCCAAATAAACCTGTGCATCATTCACAGCCTCTACTCTAGTTCCACAGTTTCCCTAAGCAGGATAAAGCAGCTGGCAATATGCACAACATCAAGAGCCCAGGACAAGATGTTCGTCTGGTTAAGCTGCTACAGTCCTTCAGCAGCCAGGATTTTAGTCAGGGAAACCAGAAAGACTGGCTTGAAATTAAGAAGAGGAAGAGGAAGAGAAAGAAACAGAAACATAGTGGGTGGGTACTAATGAAAAGTATATGGCAGATTATCCCTACCAAGCACCAATATAATGATAATCATAATGATGATAATAATTATACACACACACACACCCTACCAGATGTTTGATACATGCTTGAGGGCACAACTACAGAGGTACATTAGGCATTAGGTAAGCAAGCACCTCTGTGTTCCTTTAAACTAAGAATGATTTTAATTCTGTAAGCAAAGACAGATTGCAACAGGGTTATTGCCTATCCCTGCTAAGTCACAGAAGAATGGTTGCATTAAAGCACAGTGACAGCAGTACAGAAGCTGAGGTGGTTGGAGAGTCCTTAGCTGAATCAGAATTACTGTTCTCCATCACCTCCTTACTCCAGGGACAACTTTGTAATTTGTATGATCAGTTCAGTTCACATCAATAGTGCACATTTTTAAAGACATATATAGTACAAGAAATGCACCCAGCTTGCATTTCATCAGGATGAAGGAAAGGGGGCAATTCAGAGGGGGCAGGGATGTGGCACTTCTGGCCCATGGATCAAATCCAGCCTGCCTTGGGTCCCAAACTGGTCCTCCAGGTGGCCATGCCCCTCTTCCTTGACCCCAGCTTCATTCCCCAACCTCCAGGCATTTCATGGATTCCAGACCTTTTTACAGTATTTTTCCCATTCTGAATGATTAAATGTCTCTCCTAAGTCTTAGTTACTGACTGTGAACGCTTTAGACCAAAATACATAATCATTTTTGGAATATTCACCCTGCCTTGTTTGCCTTTGGCTCCATCCAGCACTGAAACGTGACCCTCCCCCTCCCACAAAAGCAGCTTCAAAACTCAAAGCTGCTTCAAATTTCAGCACTCAAGTTAAAAGAGGCTTAATATCCCTAAGACAGTAGTCAAGTACCTTCATCCTGTTTCGTTTTAGACATGCAGTTGCTTCCTGGGCATTGACCATACCCAGAATGTGAATCAGAAGCCCCAACCTTCTCCTCATGTTTGTACATTTCTTCTGGGAGGAGATCAGTAGCAATTAACTCATCCCCAATTGCCTTGCTTATTGAAAGTTTTAATTAGCTTAGGGCTGTGTGAGGCCTCTTAGCTAATGGTGGCTTTACCCCAATCATGTGCCCCATCCCTCCCCACCTGGTACTGAAATATCTTGGTCTACAGCCCAGCATTCCTAACCTTGACCATACTGGCTGAGACTGCTGGGACTGAAGTCTAAAATACATCTGGAAGACACCGCACTGGGGAAAAACGGATGTATTTTAATCAGCCTGGTGGATGCGTCCTCAAATAAGTCCTAGTGTTTCAGTGGTTAAGCATGCATAGGACTGCAGCTTGAGCACCTAAGGGCCAGATGAGTGAGGATTTCCCCAAATACATTTTTATCCTATTTTATTATTACATTTATATCCTGCAAGGAAGTCAAGGTGGCTTACATGGTCATCCACCTCCATTACACCTCACAACCACCCCATAAGATCAATTAGGCTGAGAGTCAGTGTCTGGCTCAAAAGTACCAGTTGCACTTCATGGCCAAGGGGAGACTAGCACTTGGATCTCCTGGGTCTCAGTCCAGTGCTATAAATACTACTCAACACTGGCACCAAAATCAATAGTAGTGACTTTGGAATAAACACAGTTTCTCTCTTATGAGGTCGAAAGGTTAGTGCACTAGTCCAGTGCCGTAGTGGGCCCCGAGGTTTTGGCAAGGGGCGGCATAGAAATGTTATAATAATAATAATAATAATAATAATAATAATAATAATAATAATAATAATTCACCAAGCATGACAGTGCAACCCTATTCAGGTCTATTCAGAAGAATTGCACCTTCATCCAAAGGAATGGCTCTCACAGTGCTATACATAAACATTTGAAATCTCCAATATAATTTTAAAAAAATGAAACATGAAATAACAAATGCAATCACAATGAGAGGGAAAGATAGTGACCAGCTGAAAATAGAATAGTTTAACTTGCCTGGGCAAAGAAAAGGCGGGGGCAGGCACTAAGCAAGTATTAATTGAATACAGTGTCGGTGGCATACTTCCCTTGCAAGGGTGTCTCAGGGCCAGGGACCCACCACAGAGAAGGCCTTCCCTTTCCTTCATGCATAGTACAGTTCTCCTAAAGAGAGATCAGCTCATAATGCATAAGCAGGT